CCGGGTAAAGCAAACTCTCACAAAGCGAGACCATACAACATAACACACAAGTAACAAAATGATGGGTTTATATACTCGACGAATGGTGCGTAGTAAATGGCCTTACATATGCTAATGCATAGAGCGCATGATTTGACCTGATTACTTGGCGATGTGTAGTCGATTAGATCACAACATTTAAATAAAGTAGTCGGTCGCATCAATGCACGGCTGACTCATGGCGATGACTTATGATCGTCCCTAACACCTTGTCACCGTCAAATTCACATGTCTGACATTTATTTCATTTCAATTTGACTTGATTATTGTGATTGTCCGCTATTTTGTAACGTACTGGCACATACAAGACAAGAGAAGCTGCTTGGTTTTAAAGTTTCTATTTCGTTTGCATGGAATCAGTGGCCGGGAGGATCAACTTTGGCCATATTGGAGGTACTTGAGCAAATGGTGTGAAGATGGTTTAAGTATGCAGCGGTACTATTATGTTCGCTCATGTTTTCGTGATTTGTCCAATTGCCCCCCGTCTCTCTAATTACTGCATTGCATGTGAAAGTAAATTGCTTGCTCAATAAAATTAACTGTAAATGGAAATTTATGTAAATTCAATTAATCATGAAGACTTTAGGGGCATACCTGGGTTTCGACTTGGAAGGTTTCATCAATAAAATCAATAAGCAAGCTACTGTATCACTGCCGTTTTTTAATCAGTAATACCGAATAGGTGAGTATTTCTGCGATAAGGTTGACTTTGACAGGGGATTGACTATACCAAAACTGCTGAAAGCGAGATTTTAAACATGTAGGTTATCATGTATTAAAAAATCCGTTTATGATCATCCGCTTTCTGGAGGATGTTCAGTAATACGTAATGCTTCGTGAAACCGTTTCAAGTCTATTGTGATTTTAATGGCGTTAATAGAGGTTCAAAGATTCATTTTCTTCCAGCATCAGCACTGAGTTGTGTCTATGGCACTTTTGTTCTCATAGAGTGTGGGACAGTCTTGTAGAACTTCAATTCTTGGACAGTAACGCTTCCCTCTCTCATGACATGATCTGCATCTGTGTGAAAAGCGACCGTTGCATGCTACGTGGTTTTTGTGCATTCTGAGTCATTGCACAAAGTATGAGAGATTCGCTGCAATAAATTGCAATCGCGTCGCATGCACTTGTATCCGTTAATCTGCTTACTTTCATCATCTGTTAAATAATCTCACAAGTAGGCTTTCGGAATAGAACTGACCCCTAATGGCCTAGACAAACAGGTTTCAGGCAACATTTGGAAATGGTACGAACATTCAGATGGTCAGCTACGAACGAAAAGTATGACTCAACAGCGCTCAGACCTTCTGTTTCATTTCATGGCCCCTCTTAACACACAATAACGTATATTACACATATTGTGGAGCTGGCACAGCAGTGAGTATATCAGGTTGTTCTGCAGACGTACTCTTCATTACGACAGTCATTGAATGCAAACACTAGGCACCAATATGACAAACAGGATGCTAATCAGCATATCCCAGAATATCGGTTAATCCGTTGCCCTTACTTTTGCATGACCATGTCCACAGAGCGCAGCAGTCATTCATAAACCTTACCATGCTGCGCTGATCTCCGCTTTTGTTCACAAAGCAGAAATTTTCGATGGTCATACTTACGGCAAGACACGCACTCTGGTTTGTCTCCATGTCGCTTAAACCGGTTTCAGTACTCAGTGCCAGAGTCATGCAAAAGAGATAATCAAATAAAACGGAAGCCTAAATATGCAACATTAAACATACTCCAACAAGTCAAAGTAATTTCCTCTTCTTGACTTTTGACGTATGCAGAAAGGCCCCATTCCACTTGTTCCTCGCAGAGTTTCCGTGAAGAAAAATTTCACGGAGGTTTTCTACAAAGAGATGAAACAGTTATGCTGCGTTACGGAGGAAGCTGAGCTGGTTTCACTTAAACTGCATCCCGGAGCATGTCATTATCAGAAGTGATTGTATAAATCCACTATCAAGTGGAATGATAAACTGTACTGAGGCGTAATGTCGCAGATTTTAATTCCCTTACAAGCAGCATGAAGGATGGAAAACGATCAAAGAAAGACGCAACGATAACAAATAAGCAATAGAAAGTACTACTAAAATTTCTTGTCGAGATGACATCGCTAACCCAAAAGAACCTGAAATGGCATTTGCGTGAAAGTGTTGGAAATCGTTGTTTGCGGTGTCCAACTTCAGTCACTTCGTGCATGTTTTGGGCTTTCGTTTAAGTCCACAATTTATAAATATACTGGCTTAATAATCTCGATCGATATGACAGGGTACGGTTGGTGCACGGGTGTTCTGAACCTGGAGATGAGCATTAGGATGGACCGAGTCTCCTGCTTACCGGACAGTTGCCGAGCACCCTCGATCACTGTTTGCCAGTCAGCCTTTTTGGCTGCCCTATTGACTTTTTTGATTTCCCTTTAACTCATTTACTTGACCTGCCTGTTACACTGATTGACCGTATGAACGATACTGCAAAGGACTGGTTTAGAGACTGTGGTTGAGTGTTGCAAAAACTCATCCGCTTGGTTCTACATCCTAATGGATAGTGTATTCTTCGTAACCCCAGGGCAGTTTGGATATCTTTTTCTTAAGGTCAATTTATTTGAAGTCATGCCGCCTTTTTTCAAGTGAGCATGATTTTGTTACCTTAGCCGCAAGCTGCTTTACCTTGATGAATGATTTTCGTTGCATATGCTTTCACAAGTGCACTGAAAGAAATCATGTTCATATAGTTTTGCTAGTTTAATGTCATGTTTCTGAAATTGAGTGACTTCACAGTAGAAATAAAATGAATTAGAGTCTAATCAACGATCTGTAGACTCAAAGCTTTCTCTCAATCTCTGTAAAATAATTTATCCAAAGCAGACTTTAGCGAATTTTAAATGGCATTAATTTTCCGAACTATTACTACGGCTTTAACTTATTGGACCATTGGGTCTCTTCGGCTAAACGATATTTATAAATGATTGACAGTTTTTTTCTGTCCATCGAAGTTGTGATTTCGACCGTCGGAAAGATAGGGGAACACATAAAACCTCTGCCGCAGAAGTTGTAAGTTCTGATTGAACACATCAGGTTTAAAAAGTCTTTCCAGCTGACATAAGTTTATGAGTTGCGGATAAAACTTAATTCTGGTGCACAGGAACCAGCTGAGAGTCTGTTAAAATTTCTTAGCATATGCACTGATAAATGACACTCTCCAAAGTCAGACCGAAATTGGGGCAGGGTCTTGTTACGAGTGTCGCTTCTAAATATTGTTTCGGTGGAACTGTTCTCATCCATCCCTGAATGTGACCACGGAGGCACAGGAGTCATAAAGGTGATCTGCAAATTTGCCTCTCGCTATGGATACGATTAAGATGGTCACTGACGAAAGGAGTTCCAGCTGGGACTTTAAATATCTTCTGATTGTAAAGTTATGCTGTCAGTTATACGGG